GAGGATATAGTTCTTGGCCAGGAGAAGCGTGGCGATCTTGGAGAGCTTCCGCACCGAGGGGCTGTGGGCGTAAGGGATGACGGCCCTCAGCTCGTCGAGCGCGTCGTTCAGGTCGTGCATGCGCCTCCGCTCGCGGGCGTTGATGTTGAGCCGCAGCGCCTTCTGCTCCTTGGACTTCTTGCCGCCGCCGCCGCCGCCGTGGTGGCTATTGGAGCAGGCGCCGCCCTCCGGCGCCTTGAGGAGGGCGCCCCCAGAGCTGACGACGACTCCGGAGCCGCTACCCCCGCCGGGGCCCCGCAGCAGTAACTCGCAGCGCCCGTCGCTGTCGTCGTCCGGGCTCTGCTCGCCGCCGCTGCTCTCGGCGACCGAGCTGCGGCTGGTCGTGCTCTGCCCGTACTTGACGCAGACCGAGCCGCCCAGCGGGTCCCCGGCCACCAGGGCCCCCGCCGCGCTCTCCCTCAGCAGCACCTCGGAGTCGGCCGGCTCGTAGCAGCTGAGGGGCGACGGCGCTTGCCGCGCCTCGCGCTGCTGTTGCTGGTGGGCGGCCAGGTCGAGCCCCGGGGGTGAGCGAAAGGCAGACTCCATTCTCTTGGCCGAGGCGCTGAAGCTCTTGTGGAACAAGTCTTCGTCTGAAGGCAGGCTTAGCGCCCTCTCCATAGTCCCGACCGGCGGGTTCCCCTCCTCCAACTCCTCCCTCTCCCTCTCCCACGCCCCCTCCCCCGCTCCGGTCCTTCGACGCCCCGGGTCGGGGGCTTGCCTGGGTCGAGGTACTCTTCGCCGAGAGCGCGGCTCCTCGTCCTGCCCCTGTCACCTTCTTCTTCCCGCTGTTCCAGCGTCTCGCAGGCAGGCCGCTTTGGCGCGCGTTCTTTCTCTTTCCCTCAGCGCGCGTCTGGTCTCGCCCGTCGCCTCGCTTGCTCTCAGCGCTCCTCTCTCAGGACTAAGGCATTGTGAGCCTCCGGCGGGCTCTCGGCGCCTTTTCTCTGGCTTGGATTCACCTTCGGGAGGTTGGCCGGACCCACCAAGTGAGAGGAGAGAGAGAGAGAAAAGAGAAAAAGAAGAAAAGAGAGCAGGAGCGCTCGCTCTTCGCTCGCTCGCTGAAGGCGGCGGCAGCGGCGTCTGCTGGTACTCCCGCTGTTGCTGTTGCTGTCGCCACCGCTGCTGCTGCTAACTGCCGCCGCCACCACCACAGACGGGGGAAGTCTTTTACCTCATTATCTCGCGGAGAAGGTTATTATGAAGAAGCCTCGCCTGTTGGGACAGCGCTTTCTACCCAATCAGGTTAACGTTTTAATTAATAGGATTAAAACGGTAACAAACGAGCCGGGGCGCTAGGCTTGGCCCTGAGTCTGGAGAGTTTGCATTTCACACCGGTCTGGAGGAGGAGGAGGAGGAGAAGACAGGCGGCAGCTCACGCTTTATAAAAGGCTCCTTGCTCCATTCTTCTCCCTGCCATCTGTGGGCGCAGCTTAACGCATATGTTTGCAAGGCGTTGTGTCCTATTAGGAAGCCGACAACTGCCTTTACAGCCTGACAGGTGTGGCGACTTTCACTCCTCAATGAGCAGACTTAAAAGCCCGAGCTGGGGCGAAGGATGCTCTTTCCCTCCTTCAGCAAATTATGGGGCGGCGTTGGCGGCGGGGTGAAGGAGGAGGAGGAGGAGGAGGAGGAGGAG